AGAATACTATAGAGTCACAGCTCACGGCAACCTCCAACTCCTGAGCTTAGGCAATTCTCCTGCCTCAGCCTCCCAGGTAGCTGGGACTACAGGCGTCCACCACAACACCTGGCTATTTTTTGTTGCAGTTTGGCTGTGGCCGGGTTTGAACCTGCCACCCTTGGTATATGGGACCGGCGCCCTACTCACTGAGCCACAGGCGCCGCCCCTCATTCTCTATTATTGTTACATGCTACTCTCATATCTGGAGTCATATATTTAAGAAAATTTGAGTAACCTGGGCGGCGCCTGTGGCCCAAAGGAGTAGGGCACCAGCCCCATATGCTGGAGGTGATGGGTTCAAACCCTGCCCCAGCCAAAAACTGCAAAAAGAGTAACTTGCAGGGCACAGTGGCTCAGGCCTGTAATCCTAGCACTCTGGGAGATGGGTAGATTGCCTGAGCTCACAGGTTCAAGATCAGCCTGTGCCAGAGTGAGACCTCGTCTCTAAAAAAAAAATAGCTAGGAGTTGTGGCGGGCATCTGTAGTCCCAGCTACTCAGGAGGCTAAAGCAAGAGGATCATTTGAGCCCAAGAGTGAAGTTGCTGTGAGCTATGACTCTACACACTCTATCCAGGGTGACAAAGTAAGCTTTGTCTCAAAAAAATAAAAAAACAAATAAATAAATAGATGACAGATAAATTATTAAAAAAAAAAAGAAGAAAAGAAAATTTGAGTAACTCAAAAAATAAAAATAAAAAACTAAACCAAAATTACAGTCAATCCTTTCCTAAAATAGCAGAATAGGACTTCCAAAGAGACTGGTGATGACAGCACATACTTTAAAATGAGACCAGAAAACCAGAACATCTGGGCAAACCCTGACTGACAGACTCCATTGAACTCCTGAGCTCAAGAGATACACCCACCTCAGCTGCCCAGAGTGCTAGGATTACAGGCATGAACTACCAGGCCAGCCTACTTTCTTATATATTTTTTTGAGATACAGTCTCACTATGTTGTCCTCGGTAGAGTGCCTTGGCATCACAGCTCACAACAACCTCAAAGTCTTAGGCTTAAGCAATTCTCTTGCCTCAGTCTCCCAAGTAGCTGGAACGACAGGCACCTGTAGCCACAACACCCGGCTATTTTTTGTTGCAATTGTTTGTTGTTTAGCTGGCCCAGGCCGGGGCTCGAACCTGCCAGCCTCTGTGTATGTGGCTGGCACTGTAACCACTGTGCTACAGGCACTGAACCATACTTTCTTAATTTTAAAATCAGCTTGTCAAGGCCCAGCATGGTGGCTCACGCCTGTGATCCTAGCTAGCACTCTAGGAGGCTGAGATGGGTGGAGTGCCTAACTCACAGGTTGAGCCAGAGCAAGACTTCGTCTCAAAAAATAGCCAGAAACTGTGGTGGGTGCCTGTAGTCCCAGCTATTCAGTAGGCTGAGGCAAGAGAATCGCTTGCACTCAAGAATCTGAGGTTGCTGTGAGCTATAATGCCACGACACTGTACCAAGGACGACAAAGTGAGACTCTGTCTCAAAAAAATAAATAAATAAAATCAGTTTGTCAGTTTCACTCTCTCTTCCACCCCACCCTAAAACCTCTTGGGTTTTTGACTGAGATCACATTGAATTTCTACATCAGTTTGAGAAGTGGCATATTTATTACTGTGACTTTTCCAATCCAAAACTAGAGTATAGGCTCAAGCGGCTAAGGCACTCACCACACACACCTTAGCTGGTGGGTTCGAATCCAGCCTGGGCCTGCCAAACAATGATGGCTACAACCAAAAAATAGCCGGGTGTTGTGGTGGGCACCTCCCAGCTACTTGGGAGGTGGAGGCAGATTTGCTTGAGCCCAGGAGCTGGAGGTTGTCATGAGCTGTGATGCCATGGCACTCTACCCAGGGCAACAGCTTGAGGCTCTGTCTCAAACAAAAAAAAAAACAGGGTATATCTGGGAGGCTGAGGCAGGAGGGTACCTATGTTTTAGTTGTTTTAGTTTACTAATTCCATCTTCATTGTTCACCTAAATAAGTTTTTATTTTCAATTTTATTTTTTGAAAGTTCTATTTGGATCATTTTAATGTTTTGCTTTTTGTTACTTACTTTTGTTATAGTTTGCATTTCTTTTTTTTTTTT